TAGCTTCTGAAAAAGGACTTCAAAGTTCAAAAGGATATATCGTAATTCATCAGGAGTTGATTGAGAGCCATGCTGATCGCGTGCTTTCTGAACGCTCAACCCATTGGCGAGCTTAGACGTGATCAAGAATAGCGATAGTCAGACTCTCAATCCTTCAGTATAGACCACAACCTTGATGTATCGGTTTGTATGCATGCTTGTCTGCCTGTGTCTTTGTATGGATGTCCATCCACAAAGTGAAGAAGTAAGGAAGCTCAAGTATAAACAAATCGGTAACCGAACTCGGGGCTTCGCGTGCCTTGCGGTCAGGGTCAACCGCCCGTTGCGCATTGATCAACGAGGGGTCGTGTGTAACCAATGGAAGCGGGGGGGGGTGGGGTCGAAAGACTGCGACTGCTCAACACAGACGATGAGTGGAGCACCCCAAAGCAGGAGATCCCGTTAAATCAATTCTTCCAGAGAAAGTCCGATACTTTCAGACCAAATCAAAGTGGAGGAAGTGCAACAAATTCGCCGGATTGACTTCCAGACCCAATCAAAGATCCTGGAAAAAAATGGTCTTCATTTCAGACCTTTTAAAGGCCCCGGAATAAAGCTGGTGATAAGAGCACTTCGAGGGAGAATTCAAAAAAAATTAGAAAAAAAGGAATTTTTTTTAGAAAATCTTGAGGTACTGCGGGACTACTGTAGTCACTGTATAAGTTCCGCCCACTGCGGCACAAGCTCCGCCCACTTTTATTTTTATAGAAGTTGTGTATGAAAAACATACATACATTCTTTGAGACGCTGAAATTAAGCCTTAACCTTCAAAAGGTCGGATGTGGAACGATGGCGAGGCAGGGCGGTCAAAGAAGACAAAACACGCGAGAGATCACGCCGTTCGAGAGAGCACGCCGATATCGAGGTGGGTGGGAAGCGTTGCAACGGGGGTCGATGGTTGCAGGCCCGTAAGGATTAGCGCCCTAACCGCGCAATTTTGCGGCGAAGCTGGAGTGATCTAGGTAGGGACCTTACAATTTCCCTCGCGGTATCCATCCCGTAAGTCGGGCTAATCCTGGGGTTTGCCTTTAGGAAGAGTCCAGCATACGATATAAAGCACTGGTCTCGCAGATTTCAATTTCACCGATTCTGATTATACCAATTTTTATAAAGTTATTGACGTAAGTTTAAGGCCCGCGTATCAGGAGAATGGCCCGAAAAGTCATAGAGGGAAGAGAAGGAACAACGGGAGTATTTTCTAATAAAATGTCCTCTAAAAAGATCTCAGTGTTTTTCTTGAAGCCCTTATCCTCTGGTTTCTCATTAGCCTTCGAAAAGTTAAACATTAAGGAAGGTATAAATGTTTGAATGGTGGAAACTTGCGCGTTCCGAAAAAATCGGCTCACAAAACTTTTGTAAAGGGAACACGGGGCTACTTTTGGAGAGTAGTCTTTAGAAGAAGTTTCGAGGATTTTTCAAAATCGCTAATCTTCTAGTTTCTAATTAGCCTTGAACATTTGCAAAAAGTTGACTATGAAGGAAGTTATGAACGTTTGAATGTTGAAAACTCGCGTGTGCACGAAAAACGGAAAAACGAGACGATTAATTTCAATAAAACATGTATGGTGCAAGAGAAAATAAAATTCTGTGGTTAAAAATTGGATGCAGTTAGAAAGGATTCTCGCTAATTCTCTAACTCACCCAGGTGAGGATGATGGGTCAAAGTGGCCATATGCAATGAGACGTACGACTTCGGATACGCTGATCTCGAATCTGCCTTCAAATCTGCCAAACGATTTTCCTGAATGGAGTTATGAAGGAAAGTAGTGCAGCGGTAGTAGTCCGGGTTCACGTGCGAGACGTCGTAGGATCGATTCCCTGACGGGTTCTATTTTTGCCTCTGAAGCATCATGGTTGAAAAGGACTCTGAACTAGATTTCGCGATCAATACATGCTCAGAGTTACCGGTACAAAGAAGTTGCGAGAGCTGGTATTGCTACAGACGCCATATGCAGTCATCAGCAAGCAGCGTCCAAACTTGTTAGCAATGGAAAAGCGTTGATCAAGAGACCTATTGGGTCCTTTCCAACCATTTGCCGCAGAGGCAAAAGTGTGAACCCGTCAAGTAATTGATCCTACGTCGGCTCGACCGTGAAGCCAGGACTACTACCGCTGCACTACTTTGCTTCACAACTCCATTCAGAAAATCGTTTGGCAGATTTGGAAAGCAGATTCCAGCACTGCATGTATCATTGCATATGTTCACTTCAACCCATCATCCTTTTCTGGTTAGTTTTTGATTGTTAACTGCTGTTTTTGACCGCAGTTCGCCATGCCAAAGTTGTTATATTGGGTTGTATCATAATTCCTGTCTCAATTTCGACACTTTGTGTATCCA